TGGAAATGGTTGTAAATGAAAACTGATGATAATGATGGCAGCTTCCATTTTCTGAATGCTTCTTATGGGCCAGCCACGTGCTGAGTTCATTTACACTGATTAGGTCATTGAATATCTCAAGACAGATCCTCTGGGTAGGAGCTATTTTTATCCCTGTTTAGTGGGTGAGGAAGAAGTTAGGTGTTAGAGCTGAGCCTTAAGCCCTAGTTTGGCTGAATCCAGAGCCTCTTAAAACCATGAGGTTAAATCATTTCACCCAGAGCCCTGCTGCTATTCACATTCTTAATGTCACAGAGCTGGAAGGAAACTCAGGTCGTCTCATCGTGGATTCAAACCATACTAAATCTCAAAGCCCTAGAGAATGCAGCCCAGCCGTCCTTTTTCTGAGAAAGACCCAGAGAGGAAAAGCCACGGTGCTGGGAATACAGCCTGGGCCTCGTGTAGCCCAGTCCAGCTCCTCTGCTATTTCCCTGGTTGTCATGGACCAAAGGGGACTCTCAGCCTATTTGCTTTCTCAGATCACAATCTCCAGCCAATGTCTGCATAACCTATTCAGTACCTTCCTCCTGGGGAAAACATGGCGACCCTCTGAAAGCAGCCGTGTACTTAGGTGTTCACACAGCTTCTGACGCCCACCACAGTGACCAGGCCACTGGAGGCTTCCAATCCTGATGGAACAAAGAAAGCAGAGCAGTCTAGTAAATTGGACTACCCCAGCTTCCTCCTCTGGGTCTGAGGATTGATTTGACTTAGCACGTCCTCATATCAGCTGCATTTTTCAGCCCTAATTTAAACAGGCAGGGGTGACTGAAAATGTGTAAATGTTAAAATGTTATTATTCAAAAGCCCTTGAGATCCCCATGGATCATCATGGTCATTAAAATGCAGCACAGAAGACCCCTTGCTTCAACAGCTCACAGGGTAAAAGGAAAATGAATGCCCAGAATGAATAAAGATGGAACGTTGCAGGGGCTGGGAATTAGCGTGCCGGCATGTCCTGTGCTGTAGAGCAGCTGGCCTTGAGGCATGCGGAGGGCGAGGAAACAGCCCTCCCTGTCCCCTTCCTTCCTCCCTTCTCCAGGAAGGGCAGGTTGTGAGGAGGGCTGAGGGCGGTATGGGAGGACGGGTTGGAAGCGGTAATTCCGAAGGTGGGAGCACAGTGATTCCCAGTCAGAAGGAGGGCCTCAGGCCCGGGGGCTCGTTTCTGCGAGTCCAGGAGGTTCATGCCTCTGCTTTTTCTAAAGGATATCCGCTTCTCTTTAAGCCTGCCGAGGCCTTCCTCCTTCGGTGCCCAGCCCAAAAGCTACCTCCTCTGATAACCCTTCTGATTCAGGCAACACACTTCCCTTTCTGCTCACTGTGCATTATACTTTTCTCAAAGCATCTACTAGTTTTTGCCTTGAATTCTAGTCTTTATATGCTATTCTGGTAGCTGGTTAAGCCCATTGAGCGGACAGCATCTTCATTTTTCTATCTCTTGGGTGCCCCCTGAAGGCAGACATTTTCCCCATGCTTACTGCCCGTCCTGGAGCCTGGCTTGGGTTCTCCACTGTATGGCCTTGTCCCCTCCTCCTGTTGCCCAGAGTGGTAAGGGTAATGACGGTAACAGGTGTTGGTACTTGTCACGGACATTGTCTTTGATGATCCCTGTGGGGAACTGAGAAGGAGTTGGTCTCATCCGTGAGCAAATATGTTGTAATGGATCCTATGTGGAAAATGATAACCATTGTAAACATCTGCTGAGAGCTAGCGTGCGCCAGGCATGGCTCTGAATGCTTCACATGTGTAATCTAATTCTCACAACGATCCTATGAAATAAGTACTACTAAGAGTCCCAATTATAGATGAGAACACTGGGCACAGAGAGTTTAAGTAATTTGCTCAGACCTGGCTGTTGTTCAGCACATTATGCTAACATCTTGTCCCTAAGAGACCTAGTGCTATCCTGGCTTTACAGAAGAAAGGGACCGCTGAGTAGATCGTTTTCCACCTGTTGATTTGCTGGGGAATCTATGTTCGCCTTGGGTATAGTTTTTTTGTGGGAAAGAAAACACCAACCCATTAAGATCCTGAGGTTCTTAGAGCAAGCTTTTCCCATGCCAAGGTGTCTTTCCCATGGAACTGCCTGCAAAAGCCATGTCATGGTGAGAATCCCCCTCTGTGATTTCTGTACTCCATAAAGTATCGGTGGGTTGGGGTTTCTCTGATGGGATTACGGCCCTCAGAAATTCTTCCTCTTCACATATTTTCTTTTTCCATAAGTTTCCATTCCTTCTTTCTGCCCACTTCCTTCCCCCAGCATCTGTCTGGTATTGAGCTCTTGGCATCAGTCTCCCTTTCTTCATTGATGGCGTGCATGAATGGGTGGCTGTGAGACAGGGCTTTCATTGTGGGCTCCCCCAGCAGTAGGCAGAGCATTCTCTGTGGCCTGCGCTCTGAGATCCACCCAGGCAGCGTGAGCCAGGCGGGCTCCGAGTTCCGAACTGTGGTGCTTTTCTTTTGTTGTTGGATCCCCCCCCAACACACCCCCACACCCAAAATTGTTAAATAAGGAGCTGGAAGCTGATGCCAAGGAAAGAAGCCTGTGTTCCTGTTACCAGAGTCCTTTTTTTTTGTATTCAGATGCCATCAGAGGGACATGGCCGGGATCTCTAGGAAGTTGGCCATTACACTTAGTTCTAGAGGTGGCAAATGTTGCAGCCTGGTGGGCTCTCCCCATCAGCCTGTCCTGGGAAGTGCTATGGGATGGTCACATGTTGTCCTCTCTGTGGTCCACCATGCAGCACCACAGGGCAGTTGTGTTCACGCTGCCAGTGGCCATAGGTGGTTTCATGGCCCCAATGTCATGGCTCCTTGGGGCCTGAGTTAAGCTGTATGGACCTCTAATGTATGCAGCATGGCTTCTTCCCTAGAGAGATGATTCAAGTTGTTCAGTGCTCTGGACCCGACCTTTGGGGTGTAGGGTTTGTGAGTTAGGGGTGTGAAAGTCCCGGAACAGTCAAATGGAGAGGACGGAGATGCCAAAGGTCATACTTCTGGGCTCCTGCAGATATATAACCGGAGCCAGAAAATGGGGCTCACTGGCTGCCCCCTCTGCAGCCTCCACAGACTTGCCAAAAACCGAACTGATGTGGAGACTGAAGCATTCTTGAAAGGGTGGGGTGAATGGAGCCATGTCTCTCTGTTCAGGCCTCAGGGTGACGTGCTGTTTGTGACAACCGGTTGTTGGGATCTTGTCTTGGAAGAACAGTGTTGGGAGACACTATCATCACGCATGAGGAGTGGAGACTTGTTTTAGTGCCTCGGCTTTATAAAGCATCTGACTACCCTGGTTCGTTTTGGAATTAAGCTTCAAGAAGGGGCCTTGAGGCTGCAGACAAGCTGATGGGGGAGAGCAGGTGCTATGCAGGCACCCAGGAGGGGTACCCAGCGGGACTGCAGCACCTGAGGGGGAGAAGTTTGCCGTCGCAGTGTGGTGGAGACTCAGCTTCTCATCACTATCCTAACATCAAAGGGATTTTGAAGGACCACACAGTCCAACCTACTTACTGTAGATACTGAGGCCAAGCAAGATGAGATCACTGCCAAGGCCACACAGCGAGAGAGCAGCGCCGCCAGGAGAGCCAGGTGTTCACACCCCCAGGTTAAAGCCTTCCCCACACACCACCGTGGACAGACCACTGAAGGCCTGAGGAGGGCCTGCAATTTCTCACCTATAAAAAGTTGAACTCGACCCTTTTGGTCCTAAGATTCTCTGATCTCAAACAGTTCTTGGGAGCTTTGGGCAGACTAGGGAATCGTTTGGTGTGTGTAGCATAGCTTACACTTACAGAGAACATAAAGTGGAATCTTAGCTTTGGACTGTGAGCTAGTGCTGGATGCAGGGTTATTGACCCTGCTGATGTGGGTTCAAATTTCGAAAGGCTCCGAGTTCGTGTCGGGCGAGCCTGTGGGTGTCCCGGTGTGAGACTGATGTTGGACTCTGATTTGGTCAATTATTTATGCTGCTCCAGGGCAGAGGCACTTGATATCTCGGGTGAGTGTACAGTAGTCGTTGGCCTCCTGAGCTGGAAGTGTCAGATTTCTGGGATGGTTGGGAGGTCTTGGGAGAACTCTAAATGCCTCTTGGCACTGACAGATTAGACCATTTTGTTTTCAGTGGGTCCACCAAGGTTCAACTTAAACAAATAGGAGCAGCTGGGAGGCTTTGGAAGGAGGGAGATGGGCACATTCTCAGAAAAACAGAAAAGCCTGTGCTCCCTGCAGAAGGAAGGAAGGATGAGGCGTGGAGCTGTGCAGAGCCCCCCTCCGAGGAAGGAAGCTAATTTCTCTGCTATTTTGTTTTGCACTTTCAGTTAAGGAATTCCAGAAGTTGCAGGTTGCAGCTCATGACCTCCATTTTTTTCCCTCTGTTGCTGCTTGCCAGAGGAAGGGAGGGCGGGTGGCTCTAAATAACACTTTGGCCTTTATGGAAATGTATCAGATGTTCCAGGAGTGAGTCTCCCTGCTCATGCCTGCTGGCTGGCGCGAGTTCTCCCTCTCGCTCTCTCCCTCCCTCACTTTTACTCCCTGTTCACTCACTCTCTCCTCTCTCGTGTCCTCTCTGTAGGATATAGTTAGCACTTCTCGCCTTATATAGCAAGGTCTGGTTGTTAACGTTAACAGCCATCTAACAACAGGGGAGGCTGCCAGCGAGCATTAATCAGGCCAGTGTTTGGAATTTCATAAATGCTCTGACTTTGGGTACAAATTGAACATTAAGAACAATACTAAACTGTTTTCTTCCTTCCTCTCTCTCTCTCTCTCTCTCTCTCTCTCTCTCTCTCTCTCTCTCTCTCTCTCCTCTCCCTCTGCCCTCTCTGTCCCCAGCCCATCCAGCTTCTCTCTCTTTCCCTCTAGTTTCTGAATTCCTCTGCTCTGCCGTGTGCTCGCTGCGTTGGAACTTTGTTGATTTTTGCCACGTTTAATTTTTTTATTTCTCTTCCTCCGTCCACTCCCAGACCACAGGCGGAGCGGCAGCAGCCGGAGCCAGGACTCTGCGGAGGGGCAGGACGGGCAGGTCCCCGAGCTGTTCTCAGGTCTCCTGCACGGCTCCTCCCCGGTGTGTGAAGTGGGGCAGGACCCTTTCCAGCTGCTCACTGCCACTGGCCAGAGCCATCCTGAAGGGTCCCCCGCGCAGGGCGCCTGCCACGAGGCCAGCATGCAGCTGGAAGAGACGGGTGTGCACGCTCCTAGAGGCTCCCCGCCCAGTGTCCTGGACCCGAGTAAGACAGCAAGCCACCCAGCAGGCCTGCCCACCGCCAACAGCCAATCGCACCCCGAAACTTTGACTCACACAGCATCTCCACACCCTGGCGGTGCCGAGGCAGAAGGAGACCGGAGCGGGGCCAGAAGCCGAGTCCCTCCCACCAGTAAGCCCAAAGCTGAACTCAAACTCAGCCGCAGCTTGTCCAAGTCTGACTCTGATCTCCTGACCTGCTCACCCACGGAGGACGCGATGGGGAGCCGGAGCGAGTCCTTGTCCAACTGCAGCATCGGGAAGAAGAGGCTGGAGAAGTCACCCTCCTTCGCCTCGGAGTGGGATGAGGTAAGGCTGCGTTACGTCACAGAGCTGGGCTGGCACAGCCCCCCACAGCTCCCCTGTGTGCGACTCCCAGGACCAGGATGGGGGCCGGGGTTGCCCCTGCTTCCCTCTCACTGTGGCCAGTGTGATTCTGACAGCCATGAGGGAGGCAAGCCCCAGACAGCCAGGGCAGGGGATCCCCAGCCTGGATCGCAGAGAGCGTATCCATTCGTGGTTAAACTGGAGCGGGGAGGCCCCAGCACAGCAGGACGAGGGAGAGATAGGTCCTCGAAATGACATGCTGTTAGGAAATATTTGGATCTCATCAACCCTGAAGGCGCTTCAGAAGAGCTGGAGTCCTTCCTATGGGTCTCTAGGAGGAAGAGGCGAGGTCCAGGGTTAGCTAGGAGGGCGGAGAGAGGGGCTGGGCTTTGGGAGACCTGCAGGAAGGGGATCAGAGGGGGCTTTCCTAGTCCCCGCTCCCCTGTAATTATTCTGTGTTCCCCTGGGAGACCAGATGCCTCTCCCAGCAGAAGTGTCCTGCCCATCCCACATTCCCAGGTTGGTGAGGCAGAGGGCTAGCTTGGTGGTTCAGGAAATAGAGACAGCAGTAAGGAGAAAACATTCAGAGTCTGAGGCCCAGGTTCCTTTCATAACCACTGTTACAGAATCATTGGAACTATGTCCTGAATATTTTTCAGTGACTGTGACATGTCTACTGGGCAGAAGAATGTTTCTCAAAGACTGGTACACACCCCGGGAATGTGCGGGTGCTACCCTTGCAGGCTTCTCGCTAAGAAGAAGCTGCCTTTGAAGTGGCCTGGGTCTGTGTCCCAGGAACATTTTCAAGAGATGAATTTAGCTCTCCAAGAGGAGGGGAGCAGTACAGCTGGCATGTCCATTAGAACAGTCTGTAGATTAAATGCCCTACCCAACACTATTCTGGTTGCAGCTGCAAAGTTATGTAAACCAAAGCTGATCCCATCCCAGTGTGGGAACAGGGTGGGGGCAGTTCCTCCAGCATTCTTATCTCCAGATGAGACGAGGTTTGGGACTCTGTTTTGTCAGGGATCCTGCGTAACAGGAGGTTTTCACTGTTGAGAGAACTGAGATTTGGTGCGCCTGTTCTAGGTGCCAGGCCACTTAAGGAAAATCAGCCTGAGTGAGAGAGCCTCTGGCCCCTCAGAGGTCACTTACAGGAGTGTGTGCATTTGTAGGAATGTGTGCCCTACCTTTGTTTTTCAAAACAGAGTTTTACCCATTTACAGTCAAGTATAGACTAAGGCAGTTTAAGAGGAAGGTGAGAGCAGTGTGCTCTGAAATGGCAGGACAGGTGAACAGTGAGAAGACCATCCGAGGGAATGGGACGGGCGGAGACAGGAGGCGTGAGAGTGGAAAGGGGCTTCAGGAAGGATCACAGAGAAGTGGGGTGTGACATGGAAGTAAAGAACCGAGCGTTGGCCTAAAGCCAGATTGAAGCTAGTGGGGCGGAGAAAGGGCATGGCAGGAGGAGAGGTGAGCATGCGCAAAGGCATGGTGCTGGGAATGCTGAGGTCATGGGGTTGCTGTAGAGTGTGGAGTTGGTACAGGGGAGAATAAGAAATGGGATTCGATAGATAGTGAGACCGGGACCAGATAGTGAGCCTTGAACATGAGGCCCAGACGTGAGTATTTGATCTGATATCAAGGTGCCATCTCAGAGCCCTTCCAGTAGGCTGGAAAGCAGCTTGACCAATCTCATGAATTACCTCTGCATTTTGACCCCATCTTCTGAGCTTACCTTCTCCCCATGAGATCAACGGGGTGGTGCTTCACAGTATACCCGTGCCCTGACAATGTGCTAGACGGTCTTATGGGCGCCACTATTTATTTCCTCCTGCAGAAGAAACGTGAAATCACCGAAGCACAGCCCAGCTTAATTGAAGTTGGTTATTTGGGCTAATAGACCAGTTGTCTCTTAGCATCTTAACGAGAGGAGGGTTCATAGGATGATGTTTCCTTGCAGGTATAGATTGCAGGTGGGCATAGTGAGCCCAGAGACTGTTCAAGGTCTGCGTGTCCTGGCCAGTCTGTAGTATGGCCCAGAAGCATTGTTACATTTTAAATTTGAACAAAAAAAAAAAAAGAAAGGCAGTTGAAGTCTTGTTGGAAAGAATTCAGAAGCTTGAGCCCTGCTTACATAGTAAACATTAACAAGGCCCTTTATGTATAACCCTTCAACATTGTTTTTGAGTCATAGTATACTGGGTTTTTGTGGATATCTCATCTAAAGAGAAACTTCAGAACTGCTTCCCTAGTGATTGGCCCTAAACCCAGGGCCTTGGCAGACTTGCCCAGAATACCACATTAGCTAATGGCTGCCCCCTACCAGTGCCTGAAGGCTGCTTTGCCCTGTCTTGTGTACCTAGTGCTTCAAGATGTTTTTCTTTGTCATCATTAGATCCCCACTACTCCCCATTCCCCCAGGTGGTGGCGAAGGCTGCTCTGAAGGAGCCTGGGCCCAGCTCAGCTCTCGCTGGGAGGCCTGGGAGGCAGGGAAAGGCTCTGGGGGCCCAGGCAGCTGTGATCCCAGCGCATGATGAGCTGTGCATGTGAGCTGGCCAGGCCACTCCCAGGAGGTGCAGGGCGGGCAGTGCATAAGGCCAGGCCCAGGCCCCATCAGCTCCACCTTGGTGCGTGGATGGCCTCAGGAAGCCTCGGTGTTACCACCCTTATTTGTGAAAGAGGCAGTCAAATCTGTGTTACAGAGTTGTTTTTACCAATTAGATGTGCTTCAGTGCCTAGCACAATTCCAATAATACCTTGGTTTGCGAGCATAATTCATTCCGGAAACAAACTACTCGTATTGCAAGACATCAGGCGTTTACCGTATTAAAATGTATTAGAAATATTTGCTCGTCTTGTGGAACACTCGCAAACCAAGTTACTCACAATCCAAGGTTTTACTGTATTCAAAAAGTATTGTGCGCGTGGCAGATGGTTATCGTGCCTGGAGCTGTGGAGCATGAGAAATGAGGCCTAGAGTGTCTTCAGACTTTAAGGAAGGCAAAGCTTTCAGGGATGGTCCAGTGGCAGTAGAGTGACTTCGAAGTTGTGGAGTTCAAAGCCCCTCAACCTATGACCTCCTGCACAACTGCCCCACCCCTGACCTGGAAGAGCCTGCCCAGCCTGGGAAAGTAGGGCAGGTGCCCCCCATTGTTCTTTGAGAAATTAATGAGCCTTTCTTCCTAACTCTCTGAAAGGAGGAGAAGAGGTTAGAGAGCAGTCTGCAGCCCTCTCCTGTTTATTTTTCATATGTATTCTACACACAGTAGTAGTCCCCCCCTTATCCGTGGAGGGTACATTCCAAAACCCGCCCCCTCCTCCATGGATGCCTGAAACCATGATAGTACTGACCCCTGTATACACTATGTTCTTTCCTATATATACATACCTATGATAAAGTTTAGGCACAGTAAGAGATGAACAAGAAAAGTAACAAGAAAGTAGAACAACTATAACAATATGTTGCAATAAAAGTTACGTGAAGTGGTATCCCTCAAAATATCTTACTGTACTCACCCCTCCTCACTTAAAGGAAGCACTTTACAGCTTCCTTCTGGCACACCCAAATTGTCAGCAGCGCTGCTCTTGTGCTTTGGGACCCTTATGAAATAAAGTAAAGGTTACTAGAGTGCAAGCACTGCAATACCATGAAAGTCAATCTGAGAACTGAGATGCTACTAAGTGACTAACGGGCAGGTAGTGTCTACAGCGTGGACACGCTGGACAAAGCGCTGATTCACATCCTTGGCGGGATGGAACGGGATGGTGCGAGATTTCATCCCACTATTCAGAACAGTGTGCAATTTAAAACTTGTGAATTGTTTGTTTCTGGAATTTTTCACTTCATAATTTTTGGACTTTGGGTGACCGCAGGTAACCGAAACTGCCGAAAGCAAAACTGGGTAAGGGCTGATACTGCAAGTGGGCAGCAGTGGCGACTTGATGCTTGGTTGTGTGGTTGATGCTTGGATGACTTATTGCTGGGAACACACAGAGCTGATAGATTAGGGGGGGTCCCTGTCGCCAAACAGACTGCTCCCTACAGGTGATGGACGCAGCCCTTGCTGAAGTACTCTGGACAAGACGACATCTGAGAGTTGGCCTGGTTAAGTACAGCCTCCATTAGTGACACTAGCACTCACTCTGTTTTCTCTCATGTCTGTGGTAACAAGAAATAATAGAGTTTGCTCTTAAAGGAGCTCAGCCTGAGAGGAGATCTAAATCCAAGCTTCAGTGGGTTCTTTCTGTTTTCAAGTCAAGTCAAAGCACTCTTTGTTGTCTTAATGAGCCCTGGGGCATGAGAGTTTACACGGAGAAGCTGCACATAAATAAAACTTTACAAATATATAGATAAGGAGCAGTGAAATCACCTGCATCTCTCTACACATAGTTACCCTCTGTTAACATTTAGCGTGTGTCCAAATTTGGGGTCTAATACTAATATAGACTGATTTATAGTTGGCTTTTTTTACCTAATGGCTGCCTATTGGGATACGTTGCCATGGCAATGCCAGTAAGACCTGGATTCAGGTCTTCATTCTAAGAGGCATAGTATGCTATTGTACGGCTATATCATAAGTTTAGTTTCTTGTTGTTTAAACCAGCCTCCCATTGTTGAGTACTGTGCAGAGCATTTTGCACCTGCCCTTCAGGTGCATGCCCTCCCTTCTCTACCTGCGATGTGCCTCTGGAGGCTGACCTGTGTGGACTGAAGCAGTGGGCCCAGGAAACCTTGGCTTGACTGTGTCCCCCTGCAGAAGACCACCTCTCCTGTGAGGGACCCTCTCCCAATCGCTGTGCTCTGGGGTCTGGTACCCGGTCCCCCCCTGGAACCCTCCAGCCAGGGGCTCCCGGCTGTGACTGGCTCTTGTCCCTGCTACTCTCCCCCTATGCTACCCAAACCTACACAAGTAATCCCGGTATTAAGCTCCTTTAGTTGCCCAGTTTGAGTGTGCCGTCCTTTTCCTGCGGGGACCCTG